GGCATGTGCCACTATGCTCAGTTGAAACAAGAAATGTTTAATTTGGGACTTTGTTCTGTCTTAGAATCCTGGCACCGCGACCTTACTAAATGTGTCACCCCAGCAAGTGACTTCATCTAAGTGTGTACCCTCCTATTAGCAAAATAATACTACTAATAGGATACTAACCCATCCTGTTAGTAAAATAAGGACACCAGTGCTAATCTCGTAGATTTGTGTGAGAGATAAACCGGTGTAAAGCATTTGACGTAGCACCGAGCTTTGATACACTCAACAAATGTGTGCGTGTATGCTACACTTCCAGGTAGTGACTCACTCCAGGGTGTGGCCCTGGGAGGGGATGGCTGCAGTGGAATGAAGGTCGCCAGTGATGAGGCGGAGAGAGACTACGAGGCTAATACCTGGGATGATGGATCATCGTGGGCACTTCAATATCCCAGCAGGTAGGGAGGAAGGGTGGAAAACCCTTGCCCACTCCACGGGCTCCTCATTCAAGAATCAGCAGCTTCCTGGGGGTGACATGCAGCCAGCCTTTGGGGTGACAGCCTTCCCACCCTAGAACCATGGCCCAGCTCATCCATAACCTCATAACCTCTCGAAGGCCCCGGCACTCGTGAACACTGCCATGACTTATGTGATGCTACTGGCCACATCTTGGCACTACACCAAGGTTCAGCTGGTTCCTCCAACCCCTGCTGAGATCCCTGCCGATATTGAGAGCCTGAAAAAATGGTCAATAGTGCTCAAACTGGTAGCTTTGATCAAACAGCTCACAGTTAAGGAAGCTGTGCTGATGGTTTGGTGGCCACTGAAGTGTGGATGTGGTTTTATATCAGAGAGATCATAGGCAACCATGGCTGTAATGTTTGAATGTCTTTAACATCTGATTAGGTCTGATTTAATATTGGAGTGTTTTTGGATCGCATGTGATCAGAATATCTGCTGATTAAAATAAGATGTGTCAACTAAAAAAAAAAAAAGAACCAGCAGAAGCCCACCCTGTGATCCCAGCAGCCAGGAGGCTGAAGGATCACAGCAGATTTAAGGGCAGGCCAGGCTACATACATAGCAAGACCCTGTCTCAAAAAAATAAAACTTACTTGAGAGGCTGAGGCAGGAGGATTGCTACAAGTTTGAGGCCAGTCTGAACTACACAGTGAGACGCTGTCTCAAAAAATAATTGGGAGAAGAAAATAGACAAGATCTACTACACATGTTCACATTAAAGCAACTGCCAGTACCAAGTACTGGTGAAAAAATAAAGCAGAGGGAATTCTCAGTGTTGGTGGGAATGTATATAGATACAGCCACCTTAGAAAAATAATAGTAGGGTGAAGAAACTCCCCTAAAAGAAGTCCAAGCCTAACCCCTGGGATTTGTGAAACTTTTTTTTTTCACTTTGTAGTATTGGGGATTGAACCCAGGGGCTTGTGCATGCTATGCAAATGCTCTTCCACTGAGTATAACTAGCACACACATACATCTTTTTTTTTTTTTTTTTTTTTTTTTTTGGTACCGGGAATTGAACTCAGGACCTTGTGCTTGACAGGCAGGCGTTTGTGCTGCTGAGCCATAACCCTGGCCCTTTTTTTGCTTTTTAAGACAAGGTCTCCCTATGCAGTTCAGCCTGGGCTTGAGCTCACTTTGTAGCCCAGGCTGGCCTTGAACTGACAGTGATCCTCCTGCCTCAGCCTCCCAAGTGCTGGGATTACAGGCGTGCTCCACCACGCCTGGCTTTTTTTTTTTTTT